ATTCTCAGTCCCTGCCTTTGTCTTCTGTGACTTGGACAGTGTGGCTGGAGCGCTTGATGGTGGAGACCAAGTCAAAAAAAGTTGAGTACCTCAGTTTTCTCCTTGTCTGGGGTAGTCAGATCTCGTTTTCCTCACATAGAAGGCCTACATTTTCCCTTGTTTTCCTTTTATCACAACAGAGTCAGGAAAAGATAATAATGGGCTTACAGTACTGGAGAGGAACTTGGAAGATATAGATTCAAGTCACAGTGGTGGTATGGCACATTCTGTGTGAGGTCCAGCAGTTACCTAAACTCTCTTTACCTTTCTTCCTAGCTGTGATTTGTATAACTTAAATTTTTGTTGCTCTTTGTCTTTATAAACATAAAATTGAAACTACTATGGTATATCAGCAGTTCTTTAGATTCATTAATCAGTATTTCATGGTATCCTAATAGATCTTAAAACATTTCAAAAACTTAATTAGGTTTAATTTAACATTAACCATTATCTATGAAGCTTGATCACTGCTTACTGAATGACTGGGTTTTTTTTTTCCAGTTCTGTCTTGGTCCTTGACTAAGGGTGGGTACTTAACTATAGGTCTGATCTGCAGTTCTTTCCTCCAAATAAACTCCATCTGCCTAAAGAAAAGAAAACAACAGAAGAAAGTAGAAAGGAGAAAGACATAATGTATTTGTATATTTCAGGTGGTGTCAATCTAAGAAAAATCCAGAAAACAGACCATCAGTTACAGACATATCCTTGCTATCATTACTCTTATTTGTTACCAAGCCTGCACTTTGTCTGTTTTATGTATATAAAGAGTTGCTGATCAACAACATTTGCAAGGTTCACATGAATCAGAGGCTTATAAAAATGTGATATGACTTCTCTGTGTGTGGTGGAGAATAGCACAATGCAAATCCCTTTTAGCATCCCACATGATCTCTGAATGGTGAAACAATTTCTATGGAAGAAATTTCTCTTGATTGTTTGCAGCCCACTTGTCAGGGAGTGTATGATTTGGAACATCTCCATATCGCAGTTTATTCTTGCAGTTGTTTACTTCTTCAGTGCTAAAGTAACTGTTTACTTGGCACCCTATCAACAGGAGAAGGAAATGTAAAAGAAATAAATTCATTGTAATTTATATTTCACCGGTTTCTTAAAAAGTTTCCAATTCTTGCGTTCTTTAGAACATTCTTTTGAAAGGGTGCCTTTTGGCTAGTTTAATCTGGGGAAAAGATTGCTGAATCACAAATTAATACTCAGGCGGTAGTATAACAGTTCAGACTTACATAAAATACTATGCAAGTCCTGTCAAGATAGCTGTGTAATTCAAATTTTTTAATACTAGATTCCTTTTTCCCCAGAAAGATTTGTGTCACACCAAATACCAATGAAAGTTATGTTATGCTATAACATAGCGTCTAAAAGAAATATTATTATTCAATAATGTAATATAGCAATATTAATTTTATTTTAATATAACATTATCACATTAATGATATAATCTGAAATTTATTTTTTATTTTTTCTAACTGAACTCATTATTTCAAAATACACTGTTGTTTCTTTCTGCTCTGTGCTGTCCAGACAATGATCTAAACATGTCAGAATTGGTAGAGGTGGTTTGAGTGATTTAAACAAGCTGCGGACCGGCCTATTACAGGGAAGAGATAGTTTTGATTTTTTAAAGAATTCAAAAAGCTCAGCATTATTATGATTATGGTGTTTCAATACAAGCCATGTATGGACATGGTATGAAAATGCTTCTTTCAGTTAGGCAATCAGCAGAGCTGTAGCTTTTGTATATGCTGGTAGGACAATGTGCTTCTGCCACTGTAAAGGCTAAGCTCTAATTCCCTTTTTGAAGCCTTTTAATGTGGCTGTTGCTTTATTTCTTGGTAATGGATAATATAATTCTGGTTTTGCTCAGTGGGCTTGGTAGGTACTGCATCCCTCACTTTTTTGGTACTGGCTATCCATAAAATGCTACTTCGACATGGAACTGGTCTTGATGTCTATTAAAGCTTTTAAAGGTGAATTTTCTTCTAACATGATTTAGACTTTGTTTTTGGTTTTGTTTGTTTTTTGTGGTTTTTTTTTCAGCTTATCCTGATTAGCAGGAGACAAGGGGTCTGTACAATTTCAGTGTAGAGTAAATTACAGGGTTGAAGCAGGCAAAGAAGATAACCACATTATGAGCCTGAAAGAGAAGGTGGAAACACTGCTGATGGGGAAGTAAGAAAAAGAACTCTATCAGAGACGGCACTGTCAGTTGGTGGCTCTACATCCTCTGGTACATGTCAGTAAGGCAGGCTACTATTTCCATTTGGGTAAAAGAGTTAAGAAGGAAATAGCAAGATATACAGGACATTAGCCTAGAGAAACAGTTCTGCTGGTATTGTGGGTGATGTTAGGTGATGATATGGTAAAGAAGAGAAATAAAGAGGCAGAGTCAAGGGCAGAGACTTATGGAACTGCAGGCAGGGGAAGTGGGAATGAAGGCAGCTCTCCAAGAGGAAAAGGATTAGAAGAGCAACATCACTGCATTTGTATGGAATCCTTATTTTGTGACATTTTCTGGGCTTCATGATTTGCTACTGGAGTAGGAATATGGAATACAGAACTATAACTTAATTTTTTTAGAAAATATAAAGTGTTTAATAAAAATGTCTAAGAAGGAACAAGAAAAATATATTCTAGACCCTTGGGGAATTAATTGGACTCTATAACTGTTACAGCTTTTGTTTTAAAAATTTAGTTTACAGCTTGTACTCATACAACATTATTTCATAAATCATATAAGATTTTAAAAGCTCCTAAAGATTTAATTTAAAATTAAAAACTATCAATTATTTAGCTTGAAAGTTTTGTTGAACATTTAACGTTTTCATCTGATTATGCCTTGTTTAGAAGCATAATTTAGAGTAGAATAAGTACAAATACTGAAACAACAATATAAACAAAACAGTTAAAGGAAAAATAGAATTAATATCCATAAGAAAGTCATGAGTGATATCTATGTAGGCTTGGGTTCTTTTTTAAATATAAGAGGCAGAAGCCAGTTACTGGATACATTATAAATGCATAGAGTATATTGTTGGTCACAGACCTGACTGTCTGGTGATTAGCATTTTCCCATCTTAAATTTTTACTGTTTTTTGAATTTACATAGTGAGATTTCCTTGTTATGCAAGAACTTGCTGCTTTAATACTGTTTTAAACCAGCTGTTGCTTTAACACTGTTTTAAACTACAGCTGGTTTAATACTGTTTTAAACCAGCTGTAGTTTGACACAACAGGCAAAGATAAATTGTTGGTTAGAGATGCTTTTCTCAATTTATTGCTGAATATCTGAAAAATTATTTTGGACACTTACCCAGGGCACTTACATCACATGTATTAATTTATTTTCTTGAATACTGACACAGACGTAACGTTACCCTGCTTTTTGGAATATACATTCACAACAAACCCCACACCCCTCCTAACATGCCATAATGCTTTTACCAGAAAGAATATACAGGCCTAAGTTTTGTTACTGTAAGGCATTTCATACCATTAAAATCACTGACTGAATATTATCAAAGGCATTTGACATAGGGGATTTTCCTCGGTTCAGGTGTAGCAGTTATTTTATTTTCCTTCCTAGTAGCTGGTGCAGTGCTCTATTTTCGACTTTAGTCTGAGAACAGTGCTGATAACACACTGATGTTTTTAGTTGTTGCCACGTAATGCTTACTCCGAACAAGGACTTTTCAGTCTCGTGCTCTGCCACTGAGGAGGAGGATGGGTAGCCGGGAGGAAGCATGCTTATTACTTTAAAGTAATTTTTTTTTTTTTTATTTTAAAATAAATTTTAAAGTAATAAGCTGTTTGTCTTACTGGACTGAATTGTTTGATAAGAATTTCTAAAATGCTGAGTTTTCTGTAGAATGGAAAAAAAATAACGTGGCTCATACTTAACTGGTTGCCGTTACACTGGCTCTAGGACTTTAAACAAGAAAGATCAGCAGTGTAGATTAAAGCACTTGAGCCTCACCTACAGTAATTAATGAGGATGGATGTTCCTGAAGCATCCTTTTTCCCACTTCACTGGGCCTAGCTACAGCTGTTTCCTCCAGGATTAGTATCGTCATCTCTTTAGACAATGTGAGCTGAGCTTTGGGAAAAGCTGGGGATACCAGAAAAAGAGAAGTTGTGAAATGTTTAAGGTATATATATTTATCTAAGTCCTTCTGAAATCAGTTGGTATTTGGTACTTCAGCCCTTCAGGTAGCTTGCAAAACTCTACCAATAGTTTTAAAAATATACTTTTTTCATTCTATCTAAACTCAATGATGTCTCTTTTTCTGCTCTGTATGATGAAGACCATAATGGGGCTACCTAAACAGTGGAACGAATAGTTTGTTGTCTTGTTGGTTTTGGGGGTATTTTTGGTTTTTTTTTTTTTTTTTTTGTTGTTGTTTTGTTTGTTTTTTTTTTTTCCAAAGAATTAAATGTAGCTATTAGAAATGGTTAAATTACAAGATAAATGTTTTCATGATCTTTCCTAAAGCACTAATGACCATTGAAGAAATTCTTTCAATATTTTTTCTCATATTTCCTTGATAGCTATAGCTGCAGAGAAGAAAAAAAAATACAGTTTTAAATGTAAATAACTTCATAATGCAACAATTGCACCAGAGAATTTTCAGAAAGAGAAAATTGAGAAACTTTTTTCCTCAAGCTGTCTACAACCTTATTTCACCTCATGCTGAATATGCTTGACAAGAATGGAGTGTATTATTTTTAAATAGGATACTTAGTTTATTGACTACATAGACTGTTTTTTTTTTCCCAGCATTCCAGGAAATCCTGTAAAAAAAAAATATTAATTGCCATAACAGTCTACTGACTTAATTATTAAAATCTGATGATTCATGTTTAAGCAGTTGTTTGTAAATTTTAAAGAAGGCTTTTGGTTTTACTCAGAAGTCTGCATCTGTGTTGTTTTGTTTTTTTTGTTTTAGATTGAGGAGGATACATGGCAGAAATACTACCTGGAAGGAGTCGCAAATGAAATGTATACAGAATATCTGTCTAGTGCCTTTGTAGGTTTGTCCTTCCCTGCAGTGTGTGAGTAAGTACAAATGCGTATTAATATACATAAGTATTTGCCTTCTCTCAAGTGAAATGTAAGGTTTCTGCAGGATACTTTTTCACTTTGCTACAGTCCTAATGTTGCTACATCAGATGGGATCCAATAAAATAGACATTAAAGCAGTCACTGCTTGGAAGTATTCCAAACATTGTAATGCCTGTTTTCAAAAGAGATTTAAAATTAAGTGATTGAAATGAAAGCATAAATGTTTTCAGTGAAAAAATTGAACAAATTCATCAGCAATCCATTTAAATTGAGTTATTTACTCATAAGTTCTGTCCTATCATTTCTTCTAATGATTCCCATTTTTGAATAGTGGTTGTCAGTGTCACCATCCTGGCTTTTGTCCCATTTTAAGGAAATTATTCATTAATTGAAACAGATGTAGTAGAGTCATATAAGTAGTCTGGCATCCAGAGCTCTGTGGGACTGCTTGCAAACCACTTCTAACAAGTGAAATATGTCAGAAAGAATAAATCTATTCTGTAATGAGAAAGGAGTTTTTGAAGGATATAGCATATAAGCATATGTAAGCATGGCATAAGCTGTGCTACAGCTTTATTTCTAGAGACTGAATATCCTTATATTTGTCCTAGAATGATTCTGTGAATAAGAGATATGTACGCACAAGATTTCTGTGATAATTTCCATGGGGCCACAAACGTGGTCCAAGATAGTTTAGCACAGTCATATTTCACAGAATCATAGAATTAGCTAGGTTTGAAAAGACTTTTCAGATCAAGTCCAACCATTACCTCAGGGCTACCAACTCCACCACTAAACTATGTCACTGAAGGCCTCATCTTCATGGTTTTTGAACACTTCCAGAGACAGTGATTCTGCCACTTCCCTGGGCAGCCTGTTCCAATTCCTGATCACCCTCCTGGTGAAGAAATTTTTCCTGATATCCAGTTTAAATCTCCCCTCGTGCAGCTTGAGGCCATTGCCACTTGTCATATCACTTGTTACTTGGGAAGAGAAACCAGCCACATCCTCCCTCCATCCTCCTTTCAGGTAGCTGTAGAGAATAATAAGATCACCCCGGAGCCTTCTCTTCTCCAGGCTAAACAACCCCAGTTCTTTCAGCTGTTCCTCATAAATCTTGTGCTCTAGATCCTTCACCAGGTTTGCTTGCCTTCTCTGGACCTGCTCCACTTTCTCAATATCTCTCTTGTAGTGAGGGTCCCAGAACTGAACACAGTATTTGAGTTGTGGCCTCACCAGTGCTAAGTACAGGGGGATTATTATTTCTTGTGGTCCTGCTGGCAGCACTATTTCTGATAAGGGCCAGGATGCCGTTGACCTACTTGGCTGCCTGGGCACAAGCTGGCTCATGTTCAGTGGCAGTCAGCACCCCCAGGTCCTTTTCAGCCAAGCAGCTTTCTGGCCACTCTTCCCTAAGCCTTGAGCATTGCATGGTGTTGCTGTGGCCCAAGGGCAGGACCTGACACTTGGCCTTGTTAAACCTCATACTGCTGGCCACAGCCTATTGATCCAGCCTATCCAGATCCCTCTGCAGAGCCTTTCTGGCTTTCAGCAGATCAACACTCCCAGCCAACTTGGTGTTGTCTGCAAATTTACTGAGAGCGCACTTGACCCCCTCATCCAGATTGTCAGTAAATGTATTAAGACTGGCCCCTGAGGAACACCACTAGTGACCAGTTCCCAACTAGATGTGACATCGTTTACCACGTCTTTGGGCTTGGCCATCCAGCCATGTTTTTTACCCACTTAAGAATGCACACATCAAGGCCATGAGCAGCCAGTTTCTCCAGGAGAATGATGTGGGGGACAGTATTAAATGCTTTTCTAAGATCTAAATAGACAATGCGTACAGGCTTTACAGCTGTATCAAAAGGTCACAAGAAGGATTGTTGAACAGCTTTTGCTTAGGGACTGTTCAAATGCTTGAAAAGAAACAGACCCACTCTGAAGTGTTTGGTGCCTAACTAACTAATAGAAACACTTATACAGACTTTATTCTTAGAGGAGGAAATAGAGGAAGTAAGATATCTCTTATGTAAAGGAGAATGATTTTGCTTTAACTCCTTGCACTTCTCTCACCTTTTCTGATATGTACAGTAGCAGAAACATATAAGGCATAAGAATGAGGGAGAGACAACTGTTAGACAAATATTACCCATTTAAAAATCTTTTTCTGGGATGTAGCTATGACAGAGCCCAGTCTTAATTTGCTAGTAAAACAAGCATGCTCACAATCCATCCCTCCACTATGTTAATAAGACTGTGAGTAGGTTATTGAGGGAAAATGTTCATTACTATAAGTACAAAACTTTGTCTGAATAGCTTGAAATAGAATCTCATAATGTATTCTATACATTTGTTTTATATTCAGAAAAATGGTAATTTGTGCTGCTTACACTAACTACAATCATGAAAACTAAATTTTCATGCAAAACCATTATCAAACATAGCTGAGTTTCTATAAAAGTTCTTGGAAACATGCAACTGAGACTGCGTTTGACATATAGCTGACATATATTTAACTGTGCTGGTAGAGCTGAGATAATTGATAAAGAGAGGGTTTTTATTGACATCTATAGAAGCATGTCTAAACTTCGGAACTCTCCTCAAGCATTTGATTATTTGGAGGCTTAACTGTGTTTCCTAGTTTAAATTAAAGAAGATGATCTCAAATTTCCCAACATTTAATTAACACTATTAAATTCAGATTAATTAAAGCACATTAGAAATTGTAATGTGATGTTATGTATTAATGAGTTTGGTGCATAGGTATTGTCATTACTGTAAAAACTGGCTATTCAATTTCCAGAAGAACTGAAGAGCAGCAAAAATCTTTTGCACTGGCTTCTGAAGGGGAAATTGGTGGACAGACTTAGTGTGATCAACTACACACGTGTGGATATTCACAAGAAAATTATTGCCGAAAACTTTGTTAGATCTATAGAGTGAGTGTTTAAAAGACCCATGCCACATTCTTAGCTTCTGCACATGACAGGGCTGCCAGCTTCCATCCCCTGCCTCCATCATCTGTTACCGTGTTGGAGACAGGAAGCTAGTATATTGTAACTTTCAGCCGGAAGATCATTAAAGCCTGGGGACAGGAACTTTTTTCCCATGATGAGCCTTCAAAGAATAAATAGGCTCATATCGTGATGTAGCAAAACAAAAGAAAAGAGATCAAAACTTGTATATTGCATTCAGATACATCAGGGGGAATGTTTACTGAAGTACTAAAGAGCACTGAAACTGTTGCCATGCAGGTGCTTTAGGCACTGTTTATATGTAGTACTTTTCATCAGTTTCAAATATCTCCCCAATATATTTGTTGGTTCCTGACTGACTAAAGAAATTAAAAAGTGCATTCTTCAGTGTTTTGGCAGTAAGCATGTACAATATTTTTCATGCACTGAGCCTTGCAATGAGTATTAATTTGTATCCAGTGATTCATAACATGCGAAACACAAAATTTAATTGTATTTCATTTTACTGGCCAGATGGGAATAGACTGGAAAACATACCTTGAATATGTACTAATCTCTGTGTGTCTTCACAGCTGAGATTATGGTTAAAATTGTAAACTGACATGGAACTGCCTGCTTAATTAAATCCTATCTAGTAAACTAAACTTCTCTTTGGTATTGTTCACGTTCCATTAAGTTAATGATTCCATGATTTTAGTGGAGTTACTTCTGCTCTGCATCAATGTAAGATTCACAGTAATCACATATCTAGAAACATCTGCATGATTAAACACACATGGCATAGCTGCATTTTTTTTCTTTCATTCTTCTGTATTTCTGAGCTGGCCTGTTAGGGTATCTTATCCTTTCAAAGAATGCTGAAAGTTTTTACTGTCTTTCTGAGGTGTAAATAATAAGTCAATAGTCATCCAATATAAACAATATTATAAGTGGAAATAACTGTAATGGCAGTTAAGTACTCATTTTGAGCAAATTTTCCAGTACTTTTAGCAATACCGTCAGTGCCTTCTGTAGTATGTATGCGATAGATTTTGGCTGCTGGCTTTCCATTGCTTAGCATCTCTAATTTCTCATCCCCTTGATTTGTGTTGTCATCTGCTCTTCCATAGCATACTTAAGATCCAGCAATTCTAATGCAATTGTGGAAGTGCTTGTAACGATATAGTAAGACGCTTGTAAAGTACATCTCACGTATTTTAACAAGACTCCCCAGAATCTTGCTGACAAACTTGTAATTTTATACTTGATCAGATAACCACTAACATCACGGCTTTTTTTTGCCTTTTTTTTTTTATTAATTCTATGGAATTCTACTATTGGAGTATTTACTATTTTTTGTGCCTGAGCAGTACATGAGTGCTCAGATTCTGGAAGAACCCAGCTGTAGGTTGAAAACAGAAGGTCCCCATACAATTTGCCAGCTGAGCCTGGGATTTGTAGGATGTGATGGGCTAATTGAGAATTCAGTAACTATCAGGATTTTTTCTGCCCATTTCTGATATTGGCTGCAGTTCCGGAGGTACTCTCATGGTCCTCCTCTAGACTTGTTCCAACAGTTCCGTGTTGTTCTTAGGTTCAGGACACCAGAACTGCACACAGTACTCCAGGTGAGGTCTCACAAGAGCATAGTAGAGGGGCAGGATCACCTCCTTCGATCTGCTGGTCACGCTCCTTTTGATGCAGCCCAGGATACGGTTGGCTTTCTGGGCTGCAAGTGCACACTGCCTGCTCATGTTCATTTTCTCATCAACCAGCACCCCCAACTCCTTCTCCGCAGGGCTGCTCTGAATCTCTTCTTTGCCAACCTGTAGCTGTGCCTGGGATTGCTCCGACCCAGGTGTAGGACCATGCCCTTGTCATGGTTAAACTTCATGAGGTTGGCATCAGCCCACCTCACACGCGTGTCAAGGTCCCTCTGATGGCATCTCTTCCCTCCAGTGCTTCAACTGAGCCACACAGCTTGGTGTCACTGCAAACTTGCTGAGTGTGCACTCAATCCCACTGTCCATGTTGCCAACAAAAGTGTTGAATGGGATCAGTCCCAACACCAACCCCTGAGGGACACCACTCGTTACCCGTCTCCATTTGGACGTTGGGCTGTTGAGCACAACTCAGTGTGCAGCCATCCAGCCAGTTCTTTATCCACTGGGTAGTCCATCCATCAAATTTATGTCTCTCCAGTTTAGAGGCAAAGATGTTGTGCAGGATGGTGTCAAATGCTTTGCAGAAGTCCCAAAGAAATATTCTGAAGAAATAGCAGAAATTATCTGATCACAGTGATTTCTGAAATCTGATATAGAAATTGAATAGTTCAGTTCAGCAGCCATTTCCTTGTTTTCTGCAAAGCATGTTTTTGATGCAAAGTATGCAGGGTGTTGCTAAAATTGCATTAAAAATATAAATATTGTTGAAATCTATGCAAAAATATTAATAACACTGAAGAAAGGAATTTTGTAGCGAAGCACTGAACACTGGAAAAGTTAGTGTATGATATAAAGATGCCATCTATAGAAGGATGAGCTCTAGAGTAATTTGTGACAAATGTGTGGAACAGGAAGCATTGAATTTGCATACGATTCAATGACAAAATTGGAAAATGGTTTCTAGTTGTTTAAAAAAAAGATGGTTAGTTTCTTGTTTATTCTCACATTTTCTGTTAGCTTGAAGCAAATAGTGGTGTGCTACATCACAGTTCTGCAAGTCTGTATCACCCTTGAGTTCTTTTAATAGTCACTTGTACAAACTTCTACAACTGCAAAGTGTTTATTACAGTATCAGAATATATTTCCCGTATATTGGTCAGAGATTGCTTCCAGTCATGCTCTACATCTGTGACAGTAGTGGGCATTATTGACTTACTAATATAGTACTCTCATTTTACTTCAGTACATATCTGTTTTCTAAGGAGTGCACACTACAATCTACATATGGCTGAATTCCAGCAAAGATTTGAAAATATTCCTCAACATGTCCAAAGCTATAGCCAACTGCAACTTTATGTTGTGTATTATGACCTTTGTTATTATTGGCTGGACTTAGTAACATAGTGTGTTGGTTCTTATGTCTGACACTAAAACACTCATCGGTTTATATTTTTAGGAAAATAATGTGTTCAATATCTTCCAAGTAGAAAGACCTTAATATATGTTCTGTGTATACCTAACTGAAAAAAATGGAAAATATTGTAGTGTAAGTTCTCAGAGAAAATATGTATCCTAAAGCGATCCCTACATATGTAATATTTGTTGTGAAAAAGGACTGACTTTTGGCTGCTTCTTTTCCTGCAGGCTGGTGTTTGCGAAACTAAAGCTGTTAATGATAGCCATAGAATACAAGTCGGAAAAACGAGAAAGCAGGTATGTCAAATGCCTACAGATTTTTCTGGAATGCACTGTCAAGAATTGTGCCTGCTTTTTTTTTCAAAATGTACATGGCTATACTTATACCTTTGAAACATTTTAGAGTATAATTAGCATGCCATCATGTTATACCATTTCACATAGCACTGAAAAGCTTTTATTTCTTCCCTATTGCTCTTCTCTAAGTTTAATTCAAGTCAGAACATTCAGTAGAAAGTGGGCGAACAGTGATAGTCCCATCTCCAGAAGTGCAATTCATTTTTACTTAAACAAAATCTTCAATGTTTTTGTTCATAGTGTATCAGTTTTAATTGGAGGTCCAATTACTTATTTTGCTGAAAATCAAAAAGTGGTAAATAGATGTGAGATCAAAACTTGTTATGGCTATGTGTATTCTCAATAATTCCATTGAAATGAGTTTGGAAGAATCAATTTAACTAGGATACAACATAAAAAGGCATATCAGATAAACAGTATTTATATGGTCTGTTTTGACAAAAATGTGCATGTTTTAATCACATCATGAAAACAGAAAAGATTAAAATAGCTTGAAATTAGCAACTGGCTGACCCCTTTCCTCAACCAAGTAGAAAAAAAATCATTATTATTAGTACTGATTCACAGACAAAAAAAAAAACAAAAAAAAACCTAGAAGTATTTCTTGCAGTTTTTTTATATAAAGATGTATAAAAATCCAGGTGAACATTGGAGTCAGTCTTCTATCAGCTTGTGCAATGGTGCTTTACACAACATTGATTTTTGTATTAAAAAAAAAAAAAAGTTATAAATTTGGTCTGCAAAATATAGAGGGACATGTAATAAAAATGTGATAATGCTGTCTCTTAACTGAATTTTATTTTGTTTCTGTCAAAATTATATTCTGTACTACTCTAGTAAGTCTGGAACTATACATACTAGTTCATCTTATTTTTGGCCAGAAATTACCTAAAACTTGTTTCTCACAATTGTTTCTCATCATAGGAGAACCAATTCTGTCATTTGAGCTCATGCCAAAATTTCTGAGGTTTTGAAAGTTCATTTTAATGTTTATTATTTAATGTTATATTTTTTCTTTATTAAAAATATCTATAAAACCAATGCGGGATGTGCATTGCAATGCAATACCATGTTACAACTACTTACAAGAGTATTTCTACACCTTATCATTGATTTTGCTTGATTCTTTCCTATGTTAAAGTGATATGTGAAGTGGTGTATGTGCTATTGCATATTATTTTTGTCCACAGTATGCTGATAAGAAATCTTTTTTGTTGTGGTTTTTTTTTTTTAAATAAATCAGGATTTTTTTTTTTTTTTTTATGTTTCCAGCTCTCAAGCGCTCTTAGAACACTTTTCCATTTAATGATCTCACTCCACATTAGCCAATGTGAAGCAAATTATTTATTCTTTTGTCTTTGAACAGTTTAATATCTTCCTAGAAAATTAAAATAGAATAGTGACAACAATGGAACTATTTGTCAGATTTTGTATTTCCAATATTAGAAAATACTTGGTTTCTATTTTTTTTTCCTAAGAAGTATTGCCCAACTTTAGGTTGTCATTACTTCAATTGTCATTTTCTTGCATAAGCGCTAATATTACAGTCTTTTTCAGTAAGAACAGATAATTCATGGCTTCCATATCATTCTTTGCACTAACTTCAGTGGAAGTTGGATTGAGTTCTTAATCACAAGGTGATGCAGAGGATCCCACAAAAAGTAACACAATGTGATACAATCTTATATTACTTCTTACTTAAAGCTATGCAGGTAACAGTTCACAACTAATTAATTGGTAGAAAAAAAAGAGCCTAAGAATTGCAGAAAACAATACTAAAAAAGGGATGATAACAGCTGGATTTGTAAACACAATGTAACAAGAGGAGAACATGTAAGCTAGATATTCGCATTTTTTATAAGCCTGATCCACAGTAATATCTTCTGGCTTTCTAACCAGTGGTAATTTTACAGTCACTGGTGTATCACTGAGCTATTTGTAGCATACCTTTGCTGTTCTACCTGTTCCTGTGCTCTTCAACCCAAATATCTTAATTACGTACTTGTGGTTTTCTGAGGTGGAGCCTTTCAGTCTAAATAGAGAGGTAATGGAACAAAACTTCAGTTTCTCACTTCTTAGGTATGCTCACATTTCCATGCACTTTATTAAATTAGAAGGTGGGGAACTATGTTATACAGGTGCAATCTGTCTTCGAAAAAGATAAATATGTCATTTTCCAATTATGTATATTGTTGTTGACTTTGGAAATATTTTACTCTACTCCATATTTTAAGTTCTTCATTGGTAATTCTTCATAAAGCTGAGGGGAAAACTGATTATAGTACCCTTTTAGCTTTCATGCTGTAAGTGTGACCAACAGTAGATATCTGCTAATTATTTTATTATAGTTTAGATCCATATTTTGTAAAACTTTTTGGAGGTTTTACATTGTTTACAATTTAGAGCAACAATGATATATATAAATACAAATTATCTAGGTGGGACCCTTTTATTAAAAGCTAGTATTTCCTGCAATAGCTGAGGACAGGTCTAGGGCCAGTATTTTCAGGGGCAGAGGAAATTTTCAAAGCATTGTTTTCGCCTAGGGATAAGAAGATCTTACTCCCACCAGTTTAATTTTTGCTGCTAGTCAGAATATCTGTGTAAGTAAATTATGTATCTGAATTTTTTCACTTGCACAAGGAGTTGCCTTTTAAGTTTAGCTTCATCTTCCTTCACCACTTTGCACTCAGACCTAAAGCAGCACAAAGTGAATTCAGGAGTGTGTGCGGCTCTCAAAAGTAGTAATGTGTGGGCATTGTAGGTTTCCTAATGCCTTCTTCAAATTTTCATCTTGGTGTTAAGGATAAATACTAATACCATTTTGAGTCAATGGCAGACTTTTAATTGACTTTGTTAATGTCTTCATTACATGTAGAATAGCATAAATACTCATTTACCTATGCATCTTTTTTCTTCTTTTTTCTTTTTCTTTTTTTTTTTACCCAGGCAGTCTCCCACATGCCAGTTTTCTGAAGCTTTCTGATTTTCAGCCAATTGCTGTTAAAAATACCATAGGGAATTTGAGCTTAATAGTAGTTATATATCATCAGAATGCTACCCAAGCTAATATTAATGTATAAGTTAGCAGTAGCTAAGTTTCCTGCTTGCAGCTGGGTTTTCTTCTTTTTTTCCTGACTCCTAATAAAACTACACAAAATAGTAAGCACACCTTGATAACAACTTTACACAGTATTAGATCAGTAATTATAAGCAATTTATGATTTTACAAGATTGCTTAAAAGCAGAATTTAAATGTTTTCAAGCCTAAATGTAGGTAATGTAGATATGATAAATACAAACTCATTTTCAAATAATCGGTGAAATACCTACAGTATGCTTATCTTTTTAGGCAACTCTTTCTCATCAGGTTATCTTAAAGATAGCCATGATTAGCTTTTCTACTACCCTCATATTTGTATATTTAATAATGGTTAAATTACTGCTCACTTATCAAAGAAACCTTTGAGTTTAGAAAATATTACTGAATTTAATGGGTTTCTGACGAGCTATAGAGGTCTGCACTTCAGTAGTTCCAGATCACAATGTGAGTTAGCCATTCCTTGATATCTAAATAGTATCTGGGAATATTATAAGCAGTTATTAAGAGCAGAAAGCACTTCTTAAATACATTTTTGTTTCTCTGAGATTACTTTAGCTTATAAAAATGGTCTTTCTTGGTTCATTTGTAGAGTGGTTTTTGTTTCTTATGTAGAAAAAAATGCTAAAGGAACATGGAGAACATCAACCTGAAAATGTCCCAACAAAGCTTACTAAACAGATAGCAAAAAATGTCAGTTCAAAATGCAGTTATTCAAACTCTTTATCTGAAATTCCTTTTAGAAATGGTTTTGCCTTCCTTTCCCCCCCCCTTTTTTTTCCTCGACATCAGTAAACAAAAAGGAAAGCTTAACCAGGGTTCTTCCCTCCTGCACCCCATGTTTACTCCTCTTGTTAAATTTGCTCCTTGTCTATCCATATATTTGTTCTCATTCTCAGCAGAAAAACCTTTGAGCCTTGAAGACTTGTAAATAAAGGGGTTTTTTTGCTTTTGCTTTGGTGTCAGTTGATTTCTTATCGAAGTGTTTGATTTGCAATTTTTTTCTTGTCGTTTGCAGAAGCCGAAAGCGGTATGCCCTCTTCGTTACCTTTCCTTCCAACCTCAATCCTACCTCCACTCCTTCTAACTTCAGGACTAATTCCTTGCCAAGAACACAGGAAGATAACATCTTTGTCTATCTTTCTCTGTATATACACACACATATATGCATATAGATATATTTTCATCTGTCTATGTGTGTGTGTATATATATATATATATATATATCTGTGTGTATATTTATATATGAGCCCCCAATCTCAAAGAGGAGAGAAAATAGCATTTTGTCTCTCCATTGGTTCTTGTGACTCACGCACTAACTTCTTTGCAGGAAGTACAAAATAAAACAGTAGTTTTGTAGGCTTTTTTTTTTTTATCTTCTCCTTTTGTGGAGTCATTGGTATATCAGTTTGTTGCATTTTAAAAGCAGACTTCACTGTTAACAACTCCTCGTCTCTTTTCTCATTTGTGCTGTTATCGTGACGATGTGTATTTTGTCTTTACCAGCAGTTGTGCTGCCATATTGTCTCCATATTCATTGATGTTCTTTCCCCAGAGTCTTCCTTCAAAACATGTCTTAAAATACAGTAGTTAATGTTTTCTTGTCTCACCTTCCATTAGCAACAAATACCTGATTCTTTGCATCACTGGTCCTGTTTTGAGCCCAGTTACTCATAACACAGTACTCATTAAAGCTATTGTACTGTTCCAGAGAAAGCGCCATGGATAGTCTCTAATGTGTCACGTACATTTTGATGACATTTATTAAGCTCATTTATGAAGATGTTACTGAGTGTATTTGTTTCTCAGTTTTGGTTTTAATTTGGGAGGGCATGTTTTGTATTTTGTTTTAGTATACCATGCTGTGAGTCACTCCTTAGTCTACATTCTATCTTGCTGCCATTGGTTTTGATGAAGTAAATAAGGCATGCTCTTCCATATCCTCTTCTCTCCTCAATTCTCTTATCACTACCAGCTTTGTTTTTCTACCTGCTTATAGAAGTCTGTCTGACTGTCAGTGACTGTCCGACTTATAGAAGACTGTCTGACTGTTTTCATTGTCCAGACATTTCAATTTCCTTCTTCATTATACTCCCCAAACTTTCATTTCCATGTCTATTCTGTTGAGTGTGTTGTGTGTGATATATTTATTTTTTAGTCTTACTGTCCTGTGGTTTCTGAGTAGATGTGTGAAAAGAGAGGTGGCTTCCTGTCAGTTTGGCATTATTGAGATGATCCAACTGCAGAGAAGTTACTGCAACACTTAGCATCTTCAAGGATATGCAGTTGTTGCACCTCTACTTTGCTTCTTGCTTTAAGTATATATTATCTTGTGGTGAAGGCATGTTACTGCTGGCATGATGAGCAACTTGAAGAAGTGTTGTACCAAGTGAAGTTGCTTGCTCCCAGAATAAAGTATATTGTGCTCCTTCATTGTACTGATAATCACTTCTGGAACCAGAACGAATAATTTGTATTGAATTTATCAGCATCGTTGCACTAGTTTGGACTATTCCCCAATAAAATACCTCATGCATATCCTGTAGACTATGACTTAGTAGTTTCTATTGTAAAGAACTCCTGGGAGCAACCTTTTATATGCTTGTAGTAATTAAGCTTTAAAATACTGTAGCATGTAATGTGCACTGTGTCTTTTGCCTTGTATTCTTTTTAGTGTCTTACTGGATTTTTCTGTGTAGAGCAATATGGATCTGAATTAATGTCAATGATTGAGCCCAGAAGAAAGAAGCAATACTTATGACTTATATTCAGTGTGAAGCTGGTACGCACGCAATTCCCACTGTGGGATTGTGCACCTACCATCACACTCCACTTCAAAACGTACCCTGAAACAAAAAATACTGTCTCAAACTATTTTTGTAGTTCTAATTCTATAGTTGTGTAAATGACATGATACATTTTAAAAGGCTGTTATGCTAATAGTGGTGGATTTCATCTGGGCATGGCATGAAACAATCAATAATAGCTGGGTTTATTTAAAAATGTGGTAGCTATGTTAGTAATACCACACAGTCTTATTTAGATAATGTATTAATAGTACTTAAACAATATTATATCTTCCTGATTACTAGATGATATTGCTACTGTTTCAGTCACATGGGGAATGGTACAGTACATCTACCACAAGGTTTAAAATGGAGTTATGGCTTTTGTAATTTCTTTAGTCAAAATTTTTCTGGTTTTATTCATTTAATTCAACAATTGATCTTTTCTTTTGTTTAGACAAGGATGATGGCAGTTATAAGGGTAGCCATAAATATGAAAGGAAATATAAATAAAAGAAAAAGGGAGTGTTACTGAATCAGACAAGTTTCCTTGATGCAGGGATGAACTGTTCAATTGCTCACTGACAATGGGATTCATATTACCTAACTTTATCCATCTACATTTTAGATGTCTAGTCTCTTTTCAGTATCCAGACTTAGTGCATGATTGCAAGGGAAGAGAGAGACAGTTTTTGAAAGCAGCTTCCATTCTAAGTCAGATGAGATGAATCCCACCTTTACTGCTGTCTAAAATGTAACCTTGAAAGTACGAACAAATGAGAATAGTACATAACTGAGGCTCTGACAAGGAAAATTCTTAAATGAATTCTCTGTATCTTCCAGTTTTTAGTCTTCACATAGTGCTATTAAAATGTTATCATTGCCTATTGTCTGTGCTGTAGTCGCTAAGCATTTCCACATGCCTTTGTCAGCACAGTTTTAAGACCTTTAAGCAACCTTCCATATTAATAACATCCCTAATTTTTTCCAGAGAATACAGACAGTTATACAACTCTGAGAGTCACCTACTGTATAAATGCTGTGTCTAGATTAAGGGTTCAAAGTTATGTCCATTTACAACTTAAGCAGTAATGGAAACCTGCTCAGTTTCAAGCTGTGCAAGGAAAATTGTGTAGCCATGTTACTTAGCAAATGGGCTAGCAGTAAATACATACAGTGTCATGGTAGTTCAGACTAACTCTGATAGGTTGTTTCTCCATGTAGTTCAGATAGAAGATAGTTGAATATTGTTGAAAGCTAGAGGAATTTCTTTTCATCTCCTACTGAAATTTTTGGACTCTGAAATTTTATTAGAAACAATGTTTTATATATTCTAATAACATAAAAATATAGCAGCCGTCAAGCATTCTAATGCTCTTTCAACCCATGAAATACAATTGGAGTCCCACATGTATTATTCTTTGAAGCGGGAGGCAAATAAAAATTACCCAACAGCAGAAATGAGTACAAAAAAATTAGTTGGAGGGAATAGTCCTGCCCCAAAGTGTCAATCCACAGATTGTCCTGCAGTTCAAACCTGCAACTACCAGGTTCTCCATCAACTATCTTGAAGTGCAGCAAAACCTGGAAGACCTGCAACTAGTAATCAAAACTTTAGCTCACTTAATGCTTTAGGGGAAGATATAATATGGTATTCTTTATCTAGGTCACAATATTGTTGTATTGTGCAGCCAACCATCCATGCACTACCAAAAGGGTATTGAGCAATATTGAACAGATAGTTACATATATCTGTACTTTACTGAAGGTAGCATATATACTTAAAACATCAGAAAGATATAATCGAACAAGTAAGCAAATTGATCAAAATTAACACACTGTCAGAGATATCTGTAGTCCACTGAGATATGAAAAAGTCATTATGTCCTATCTTAACTTTTAGTTGAATAATCCATTTAAAGAGATCCATAAGCATTTGTCTACAATTTTTCTAACCACATTTGGATTTTTCATTTTCTTAAAAATTCTCAAATGTGTGCTAATTCCCATTTGTGCTTCTTCTGCTTATATTTCAGTCAGTCTGGAAACTCATTTTCAACTGTATAGATGCTATTCTTTCTAATTCTTTCCAGAGCTTTAATGTTCAGTGTCAGGTTGGAAGGGGCTTTGAGCAATCCATTCTATTGAAAAATATGCTTGATCATGATAGGGCGGTTGAAACTAGACAATCTTTAAAGGCCCCTTCCAACCCAAAGCATTCTGCAATTCATTCTGTGATTCCCGAGAGTACAATTGAAATCAAGGGTGATTTTCACATTTCTGATGTGTGACATTTTCATTGCTCTTACATGTGTGATCTTCTTGAACAAATGAACTAACTTTTGCTAGGTAACTGTAAAGCCGAGGTTTCCATACTGCTTTCTGTTCCACAGCTGGCTTAGAAGTTGTATTATCGTAGACTACTGGAACTGACTTCTAAGTTTATGCTGATAAAGTACATTAAATTCCTATTAAACACATTAAATCATATTTAATTTACACATATTCAAATTAGATGGCTTTAATTGCTATGTGTTCTAGCTGTTCATGCTTGAAGGAGCGAGCAAGCAATCAAGATAATCTTGAAATGTGACACTTGTCATGAAAAGCTTTGTCCTGAGGAGCATATTTCTGGAGCTGGAATTTTTAAGGAAATTATAACTAAAAGGTTTTTTGGCTTACTATTACCTGATTAGTTTCTGAAGTAACCTTAAACTAGAAATGTTATAAAATTTGCTCAAAAACTTAGAAACTTTTGAAATTTTTGGCATTCCTTGCTTAATTTCATGAGCTAAATTAGGAGATTAAAAAGAAAAAAAAAATTAAGATTTATTATAAAAAAATACTTTAAAAAATCGGGTGTGATTTTCAACAGCATTTTCTCATTTTGTGGCACAAAATTTGTATGGATTAGCTATATAGATTAATATTAAGTATAAAGCATTTCTGTCTTTTTTTTCCCCTTTTCCTACATCTTCCTTTATCTGCAAAACTCCCTAGTTTTGGAGATACATAAAAATGAGACATTAGCTGAAACTTTCTCACTCAGAACTGCAGTTTACTTTGCCATGTACTTATCATCTCAACTGTGGGGATATATATGAATATTTTCATGAGCTGCTTAAACAGATGCATGCGTTCTCAATATCTGATGGATGCATTATTCTTGGAATGTTCATAAGACTGCTAAATTTTTCTCTGTCCTCTTTGTTCTCTGTATTCTATTCTTTTAATTCAAAACATTTCCCTTGCTGTACATATTTGAGTGAGTGCTTACCAAAGCATAACTTTAGCTAATGACACTACATGTCTTATAAGAAATAATTCAATTGCTGCTTTAATAAGCAGCATATGTAATAAATCCATATAGACCGGTAGAAATTGCTCGTGATTTTTCTCTGGTTAAATATCAGTGTGTAAACCTAAAGCTTTATGAGTTTTTGCTGTAGTTCTTTGCCAGTAGCAGTGATGGTGCAAATTCATTTTTATTCCCAAAAGAAGACTTCTGCTAGGGTCGTACTGCATTAGCTTCCATGACATCTATATTTTGTGGCTATCACTACATTGTATTTGTGAAAATAAATATATGTGAATGAAGTATTAGATATGACAAAAATAAAGTCTATTCACTGACCCATCTGAATTGATTTAACGTGTCTCAGAAAACCCTGAGACACAAAATAGTTGTCACAATACAGTACATCCTAAATGGAGTCAGTTACTCCTGATTTAGGATTGTGTTCACTGTCTCTTAAAAGAACTGCTTAATTTGCTCATTATTCTGTCAAATTTTAAATTTGAGGAGGTGGTGAATGTTTGCATATCTAGTGATTACCTCAGCTTGTGAAGTTTGGGTTGTTGAGCTTTAGGTAGCATTTTGTTACTGTTTTGGTATGGTTTATCTATCTCCAAGAATGGGATGAGGGGGAAAAAAGAGGTGAGTCAGTGTAAAGAAATCTGTTCATCTGTTTATACTGAAAAGTTGTAATACTTCTGTGATTAAGGGCAAAGAACAAAATAAGGGCAAAGGAAGTATTTTTCTGACAGCATACCCATTTGTACCTAAGAAAAACAGCCAACCCTAATCATATTACAAGTCTTTGAATATTTTAGAAGGAACGGCATAGTAGAAATGAGACTAGCATCTGTAGAAGTTTAACAGCTAAATTCTCAGCATAATGGCAGACTAAGGGCTAGCAGACAGTGAGAGGGAAAAGTGAGACTGAAACATGGATGAAGTTACAGACATGATAGAAAGTTTTGGCAGAAAGACTTTGGAGAGTTAGTGACAGGATTCTGTCCTCGTTCTTGAGAAGTGACTTATCTAGGCTTACATAGGCTGGCAGACGTAAGATGGGCCATTCTCGACTTTTTTCTCTGAGTATACTGGTAGAGTGTATGTCTCATCTCCCTTAGTGACGTTAAGGTATCTGCAACAGCTAGTAAGTGCTGTGTTGGCTCAAGTGACAAAAGTTTGTGCAGGGAATCTGAATTTTCCAACCTGCTTGTGACTTGAATGATTAGTTTCATACGAAGAAATTCTTGTGGTTTGTGTTTTTTTCTTTTGGTTGGTTGGTTTTTTTTTTTCCTGTTTCGTTCCATTTTAAAACCTGTGAAAATGCATTTTAAAAGTGCATTAGGTAAATGCTTTGGTTGCAAGTGCAATTATTAAGCCCAATAGACTAAGAAAAGAAATGCCAGATGTGAAAAGTTTAGTTGTGCAACTTTCATTCATCCCATTTATCTGCGTGCATAATGTAGGTGTTATTTACACCATCACATTTCATTTTTGCAATACTACTTAAGTGAGCTGTTTAGATGAACCTGCTTTCTGTGGTGATGACTTCTGTTTTCTGTAGTTCTCCTCTCCTTTTTTGTTGCAAAGCTTGAAACTGTGAATGAAGGAAAAAGGAAGGATGTCTGGGTAAATGCTTTCTTTTTGTTCCAGCCTCTGCCACAGAATACCTCTGTGAGAATGAGCTAGTAATTTAATCGAAACCTTTTACAGATGACCTCTGATTAAGTGTTTATTATTTTGGGAACCAGAGGCTGGGCTTTTGGAAAGGCTGAGCATTCTTAACACAAAAGTCCCTAGAAGATGTATGTGGAGAGGTGCAATGCTAAATACTTGCAAAAAGTCGCCTGTAGGCATCCCAAAGTAATAGCTACTATATCTCATAGTGACTTAATCTCTCATCTGTAAAATGGGCTAATACTATATCTTCAGTCTTTTTGTAAAATAATGTATTTGTGAATCTTTCGCATGCTATAGTGATGAACACTGCAGAAAAATACATAAGAAAAATATGATGCTGATTTTAAAGAAAGACAAGCTACATGAAGCCATGCCTGGAGTAATGGCATTAAAAGACCACTGAATGAAGTTCCAGACTGTGAGAAAAAGTACTTTGTGGCTATTAGATTAAGAATCGTATTATAAAGTCTATATAATGAATTATGTCTGCAATGACCAACCTTTAAACTCTTAACTCAAGAGCACTTTAGTTTGCAGCCTGCATATTCTTTTCATAGGGCCCTGTGAACATATATAATCACACAAAACAATTTGCTTATTATAAAGGTGTCAGGTATATTTTTTTTGTCACACTAATTTATTATGTATGGATAATAAATAACATCTTGAATAAGAAATCTGCTGAGACCCATTTTCCCTCCTAGCAGTAACATTATAGGATATTTTTCCTTCACATTTTAATAACGTGTATCTCTTCAGAAATGTGCTTTATTTATTTTTATTTATTTTCATATATATGTGCTTCCCCAAAATCAATCTTTGCTAAATCCGCAAGGGTTTAAATTGCTGTTAGGCTTTATTTACTGTAAATTGCATGTTTGTCATTTTGACTTACAAAGGCTGAGCCTTAATAAAAGACAAATGAGAGAAATTTTGGCAAGCTTTAAGTTTTAGCAAGTCAAAAACTTACTTGTCTAAATTGTTGTGATGATTATTAATAGTTGTAAATGAAAGTTATCAGAGAATATATTTACATCCGTACCTGTATATTCATATTTAGCTTGGTACTTTTCAAAGTACCTTACCTAAAATCTAGCGTTAAACTATTATGAAAGTAAAAAAGATATTCGTAGAGAGGCATGCAGTACCTCATTTCTTGGAAGCAATTTGTAATTTCAATCATTGAATATAGCTGAGGCTGTTCTGTCAGTGTGGTTGGGTTATTTTTGTTCCTCCATGGCTGATTTAAAAATTTTCTACTCATTTTATGTTTTTTCAGCTGTCATGACTGGTTGTCTTGTACCATTCCCCTTGAGTGTATGTGTGTATTTATTATTTTAAACAGTAACATTTTATGTCCATATAGGGGTCCCATTAACATTCTTCTTCACTAGAAATTGGCAAAAGTTTACATCAAAGGGTTTACCTTCATAAATGATATCTTGTATTGTTATTGAGTGGTGGTTGCTGGTTCTTCTCTTTTCACCATAATGGGAATTTCTCACCACTTTGCATGACAGAGCAAGAAAGCTGAAATGCTCAGCTTCACACATCATGTTTCTGAGAGGCTTTGTTATTTTGTATAGTCTATATTTAAAGCAAAAACATAAGAAAACATATGTACACAGTTAAATGATGTGATAATAGGTGAAGACATGTGACTGTCTCAAGCTTAAGTTTTTGTAAAAAGCATGTACAACTGTTATTTGATTGGAAATTTCAAGGAAGAATGGCTTAAAATTTCCTTGCAGCCTTTCCTATCTAGTGGGTCCCCTATAAATAAAGGTATTTTGGAACATTCAGTTAAAAGTAATTTAAATTTATGGTTTTGTTGTTTTTGTTTTTGTTTCACTGAGCAGTATATTAATCAATCCTGGAAACCACGTCAAGATTCAAGAAGGTACTTTAGGATTCTTCATTGCAAGTGATGCCAAAGAAGTAAAAAGGTAATTAATATATTTTAATTTTTAAATTTAAACATCTAGGATTTAATTTCTGGTTTTGTTTCTTTGCATGTAAGCACCTAATTTTCATTAGTATCTGTTTAAAGATTCTCAGGGGGAACTGAGTTGCTACTGTAGTGAAGCAGCCATGCGTGCCACCCATTTTCTTAACTACAGCTCTAAATATCAAGGAAATTAAATAATTTTGCAGCAGATATGAAAAGAAATGAAGAAGGTTTTTTCTTTTCTGAGTCTTTCTAGAAAATATTTTGGTCTGATTTCTCTATAATTAATTAGTCTCAGTCAAATTACTTTGAGAGAGGACAGGGATTACAGTTTTGTCCAAGTTTCAGGTTTAGAGTACTTTTTATTTACATAGACTTAAGCAAATATTTGATGTGAGCAAACTACTCATTCCATAGCTTCATTACTAGAATAATATTTATTCTTTTGTAATTTTTCTTTACTGGAACTGCATATTCTATAACAATAAACCATAATAATAAATCAAACTACAACCATGCAGTATATCTCAACCACTGCCGACAATTTCAGAGGTTCATTGTGCTTGGCTGGGTTAGGTTTGGGTTGAATGAAAGGGGGGTTTATGCTATTCTATTTAGGACCAAATGTGTTTACTCTTGTTTATTAGAATTATGATAGGAATAAAAGAACAATGTGAGAAAATAACTTTTTAAAGAAATAATTATTCAATGTCTGTAAGATTAAGGGAATACTTGCAGCTGAGTGATTCCTCATAATTTCTAATTTTGTTGCACATTATATCAAGAATCTGATTTTTACTTGTTCTGCTTGAGCTTGATATTTTAACTAAATCCTTTACTTAGCATGATAAAGTATTCAGATGATGACCTATACAAAGTCCTAAGGTTTTTATAATTAAATTGCAGTGAAAATAATATTTAAGCAATGCATGTTTTCCATGAATATTTGAAGAAATTCAAAACATCAAAACAGTGAAATTGCTGAGATCTTGAATTCTATTTTTATTGTAAGAGCTAAGATAGTTTTGGGGTAGGTGAAACATACAGGAAAGCACAGGAGTGCTTCCGTCCTCTCATATTTCTAGCACCATCTTTGGAGTATTTGCAACCAGCATTGCCTCAGGTATGATGTCTTTCAGCACATAGCCCTTTTCCTCTCTGGTGCTTTTCTCCAGTTGAATATAGAGAGCTGTCTTCAAAGTCCTTTACTGAGGTGCTATCATTTTTTTTATTTTATCTTTTTTTTCCATTTCTAAGGCATTTTACACTTTCTATGAAATTATTTTAGACTGTAAGTAAAAATTACCCAGCATAGCATTTTTAACAGGGAGAAGTTCATGGAATCAAGAATTCAATAGAATGGTATGTGTTGGAAGGGAACGTAAAGATCATTCGGTCCCATCCCCCCTGCCGTAGGCAGGGACACCTTTCTCTAGACCAGGTTGCTCAAAGCCAGTTAATATGTTTGGAGAAATTTTATACATCACTGATCTGGCATGTTTTATCTAGTATCAAGCTGAAACAAAATTCCCAGTTCTCCTCTGCTTTTTGCCGAAAGCTTCATTTAGAAACTTGCTGCCTCCCTTAACACATTTCTTAGATGTTCTGTACAAAACAAATGATTATCAGATGTGCTTCAGCTAACAAAACCGGTATGAAAAATCTTGATTCCACCCTCTTGAGCTACGAATCAGAGTCAAAAAAATATTCTGAAGTTGAGGTCTTTTGGATGGGGAGGGGTGTTTGTGGAAATAAAGCCAATTAAACATATTATATACCAGAAATTTATTTTTTTCTGTTTTTTTGTTATATACTAATAGAGAAATTTCAACTCCTTTAAGCTTAAACTATTTATCAAATACATATTTCACAATGAAATATAACATGCAACGTTCAATTACTCTTTCTGCTAGAATTACTTTTGCATTTTTAGAACAGTAATTTCATATTAGAAACAATTATACCTAGAAACAATTATAACAAAGTTACATCTGTGGCAAACGCTGCCTTATTAATCTAAAAAGAATTAGTGGTTCTCCTAACTGAACTGCCAAATGCTGTGTTTATTCAGAGGATGTGTATTAATATTGTTTATTTTTCTTTTTATATTTTGGACTGTAGATTGTTCTGTTCCAGTGACCTCCCTACTGCTGTAGCCATCTAATAATCCAGTAGTGTCAGCAAAATTCATGGGTGGTTGCAGTGGTTGGTTCTTACTGACAATTTTTATTGAGAAGCCGTTCCTGCCAGTCAGAAGGGGTTGGGAAGGTAGTCATGGAGCTGACATAACCTGAATGTGAATAAGTGGAGGGAAATTTTCAGCAGTTAAAAAGTATGTTTAATTTGTTACGCCAGTAATCCTGGTAAACTGTAACTGTCCAGCTGGAGGCCAGCTGTGTGATCCTCATGAAGTGTGTCACAGCAGCCTTACATGACATTTTGACTTTGCAGGCATGATTAAACTCTCCTGTGGGCAGTCCGATGCATATTTACTATTTTGGAATTTTGTTTTAATCTTATATACAGTCAAATGTTTAACCTTTCTCACTTCCTTATTTCTCCTTGTGCTTCATCTAGTGGTGAGGCATTTGATACAAGGTTAGAAGTTCATAAGCAAAAATAATAAATGGAAACCTAGGTGGTTTATTATGTTGTTGTATATTTTTGTTTGTAATTTTGGCTTTTGTCTGTTCAGAATTTAAATGGTTCTGCTGTATTCAGATATGAAGGGTGGAAAAATAGCTTGAATCAAGATTATTCCAGTTTCATTTAGATGTTGCTTTATGAACTTGTTTTGAGTAGATTGTCTGTTTATGGTTTTGTTTGGCCTTTTGTTTTTTTTCTTTTTTTTTTTTTTTTTAAATGGCATATCTGACGTTACTGTCACATTGATACGGTTGCGATCTCTTCTTGTATCCAAAATGAAGTTCTACTTGTAGCCAGGCTGAACAATTGGCCCAGGGTGCTAGACAGTCTTTAAAAAAAGAAAAAAAAAATCTGGTATACCTATTTTGGTATATTCATTCAGTATATATATATGTGTACGTTAGTGACAAAATTCATTGGTTGCTCTTTTTTCTAAGATGAAAGACAAATGAACTGATACACTGTGTCATAATTATCATCTCCCAGTTACTTTTCAAATAGAAGTATATTAAAAGAAACACTAATTTGGAGTCTTATGCTTGAAATTAATGGTCTTGTAGCAAATATTTCCTTCTTTACATGTTTAAACCTTTTCAAAGATTAAGGAAATTAGTGCTGGCATGTTTCATTAATTTGGCACTGCAGCAAGAGGAAACATGGGACTAATTTCATTTATATGGATTAAGAAATGTGTCAGTATTTCCATTCTGTCTCTCTAGGGCATTTTTTTATTGCAAGGCCTGTCATGATGACATCACAGATCCCAAAAGGATAAAAAAATGTGGCTGCAAACGGCGTAAGTAATATTTCTATTACTCTCTTCCTCTCTTTTTCATGAACTGGTCAGCTTTGAAGAATCTATCTTTACATGTTTAAACCATGATACAGAAAAGCTAAGAAATACATGCACAGCAACGTAGTAAATCCCATTTGCATTTCTGAAGTCCATAAACTTTTATTATATTTTGCAACACTCACCTGTTTCTTCATTTAAAAGTCCATTAGGGTCCAAAGATAACAAAACCTGAAGAGATAAATCGAGCTAGATTGTGGAGGTTTCTGAGTTAAAAATGATGTAACAGTGAAGTTCTGTTCTCATTCATACCAGTGCTCCTTCTACCAGTGGCAGAGATCCATTAATTTCTGTAGTTTTCTATTTAGTGCAAAATTTTTGTCTTGCTGAATATGATTCTGTAAAAGAAGCTGTAGAATAATATTCAATCATGTAACTATTGAAACAATTATTATTGACATAAATGATCGATTTTACTGGAGGAGGGGATTGTCTGGAAAAAAAACTCAATATGAAGCTATTACATGTATCCTTTCAGAAGATTCCATAGTTGTAATGCTAATATTTTGTTTGGTTAAGTTCTTAGGGCAGCTTTTTAAATTGTTTGGAGAGGTTTGCATGAAGAAATAATTGAGTTTTGGAATTGAGATCAGACATCCCATCTGTATATTTATAAATGTATAGAAATTAACATTTTATCTATCTACACTTGAAAGGACTTTTTGCAGGAACTGTCTCAACCATGTTTTGGCCAAGGATGTGTTTGACTTATGAGTATTTGTAATACTGATATCAAAAGGATGTAGGGATCCATTTCTCAATAATTATGAATATTTGTGTGCATTCCATGGTATTCTGCTGTGAAAAAGGTCATTCAGTTCAAAAGTGCTGATTAGGTAAATTGAAAGATCTCAGAAGAGTTTGATCATGTGTATTTTACCATTACTTTTAGAAGAGAAATCTCTTATTTATAGATCCAGTCATAGTGTTATCACTGTACTGCCTTAGAGAATGAAAGCAAGCCTGAACCAGACATTCCTGCCTTTAAGGGATCCCTGAAATTGATGAATTCTTGAAAATTATTTTAAATAAGAAAAAAATATGTCACTGGAGGTTTTAAACAAATTCCTCTCACCCAGAAAAACAGGAGTACAGTTGAGAGAAAGCAGCTAAATCAGTGACATAAAATGGTATTTATTCTTCCGGTAGCCACAAGGAGAGCAAAGCACATGGAAAAGCATGCTGGATGTGGAAGGAATGTATGCATTGCCTAATATATTGGAAAAAATTGTTGAAGAACAGTCTATCAATGTGAGAATGTGATCTTTGAACTGCTGCAAAGCCAATAAGGCTGCTGAGTGAGTTCTGGTAAAGCCAGTTACAGGTGCCTTAGGGTGCCTGAAATTCTCAAACCCAATTATTTTTCCAAATTACCCAACAATTAAAAAGCAATAAATTTATACAGGTAACATATCAGATTCTAGGGAAAAAAAAAAATAAAAAATTTTTACTTGTATTTTCTCCTCCTTCACATACATATGCTTTTCACAAGTGCGCCTAAAAAAAAAAAAAAAAAAAATATTCCCAAAGATCTGTGGTTTTAATGCAAGATCAACACTTTTAACTGAAATCTGTTATAAGATAGGATTCAGAAATTCACAGTATAAAGGGCAAGAGCCCTTTATTGTACATTAAGGAAAATCAATGAAACCTCCTCAGTACTAGGAAATCAGGGAGAAAATAGTATCCTGTGACTCAGTGAACACAATGGATATATTACCAGCAGTAAGGCCATGGAGAGGTAAGAGTGACAATTTTTGGGTTTGGAAGTGTTCCAAACAGCATGGTCACATGTATCAGTCAAAAAAACGAAACGGTGTTGGAAAGATAAGAAACAAAATGATGGAATTAGTGAGGCAGAAGGAGGCGGCTCTCAAAGCTGCTGCAGTGAGCACTGAGCACTAAGAAGGGAATCCTCTGAGTCAGGTGAAAAACAGAAAAAAGTGGTAAGAGTAAAATCTTAAATTTCCCTTTCATTGTCTCCCCTGTCCCTCTCCCCCACCTGCATTCTCCCCTTTCTTTTCCTACATACACACATGGTCACAGATGCCATGATAGCTGGCAGCAATCACTGCGGCCGAGAAAGTCTTCCACTTAGAAGCATGCTCACAACTAATAAGAATAATTGTATTAGCAATAATACAATTGCTTTGCTTTTAAAGTTCTGTCAAAAAAAAAAAAAAAGAAAAATTTCAACAGTAATTAGTGATTTTTGTCTGTCAAATTTTGATGACAGTCTTGAAATCCCTTTCATTGGACTGATTTTTTTTTTTTGTTTTGTTGTTAAGGTAAGTCTTTGTGCAGTCTGTTATTCACATAGAATGTCTTTAGCTTTCAAATCGCTAATCACTTTTGAAAAATCTTAACTATGTTATCCTTCTGAAAGTTACACGAATCATTGGTCTTAAAAATGCAGTCTAACCAAAATAAAGCATAAATTGAGAAACTCTTTTGCTATTGAATTAGGAAACTGTCAACTGATACGTCAGCAGCTAATATGCGAGTTTGATTTTCGAAGACACTGCAAATAGTCATACGTGTGTATATGTAGTCCTATATGATAAATATATATTTTAATTAGTGAGTAACATAGCAATTAGAGGCAGCTGAATGTGGAAAATGTGTGAGATGAAATGAAAGTTTGTATGTAAAAATATTGACACAGGTGAAGTAAATGTGAAAGAAAACTTAATTATGTGGCATTAATTAATGCAGCTTCCTGTGACACTTGAAAAACACATTCTTTAATAATGCATCTGAGCTTGCACATCAATTTAGATACTGTTTGAACATTAGCTTGTGGTATTGTTGGGGTCTAAATCTGAGTCTGACCTACATAGCCATTTGTCCAAACCTGTTAGGCCTAATATTAATAATTCAGTGTAGATCAGTACATTTTTACAAGGCCGGGGAAAATTAAAGTAACCTTGTTTCCTTTTGCAGTTTTTCTGCCATCCATTTCTCCTTACCCTTACCACTCCCTGAATAACATATGAATGTTGATGTCACATTATCCAGAGAAGTGCTTGTGAGGAAATTTTATTCACAGATTGTTAATATTTTTTGTAATGTTTTCAATCTCTTTCCTATTCCATTTAACTGTAGTTTTTGCAGCAAGGGGCCTAATACATGTATATATTTATATAAAATGCAGCCACTTGGGGATGAAACATCTAAACTGGATGACCTACTCTTCCTGTTTCTTTCATTTTGTGCAACAGTTATGGTCTAATTCTCTATATATTTTTTCCAGTGACAGTGCTTGCTGTGATCGGTGGGTGTTGAACCCCGCAGGGAACATATATCAAGTGTACGTTGATGTGTTTGAAGGAATTTCTTGTAATCTGTGATCATTGACAAACTTTTGATTTATTTTTCCTCTTGCTGCCTTGGAACACGGCCCCTACTATATTTTAACTTCACACTGATAGTGATCTATTGTGAGTAAAAATGGGTTCCCTGTAGCCCAGAGTGCGGTCCAACCTGTCTTTCTAGCAGAGAGTATTTTTGTTCAGTATTTTGGTTCTTTTCTTTATTTATGTTGCATGTAGCAGTGACGTCATACCCACAAGTTTCTCATCGTTTACACCAATGGAGATTAGGGTGACGTTGAAGAAAATACAGCAGTTTTCCCCTCTTCCACCTTTTTGCCCCTTTTTTCCACAGCCTTATTTTTTTATCACTATTTGAAAATGAGATCTTGGCAATAGTATTTCCTTGAAATTACTCCAGCAATATCTCATGAATTTTTAGAGATACCAGTTAGGCTGGAGTAATTAACACTACAGCACTGTTTGCTGGGTTAAGTGCAACCCATTGTCAGACCTGCGTTCAATTCTTTTTGTACTTTGTCTTTTCCACTGCATAGCTAACACAAAAAGCAACACAGCAGTCTTTTACTTTCCTTATCTAACCTCTTTCTCCCTATTGGCAAAAAAAAAAAGAAAAAGAAATGAGATGGGGGGAAAGCCAGGCAATGATTTAAATGTGTGGCGAGCTTTTAACGTACAGACCTTATAGCTATCTTCAACAGGAAACAAGCTACAAGGATTGTTTTCCCCAGCATGCTTGTTTTGAAATTAATTGCATGAGTAGAGCCACACTGATTTTTCAGGACTTAAGATGTAAAGTTTTACATTATTACATATAAAATGTAAACTTTATAGACCACTTCATATCAACCTAAGTGATACCACTTTAAAGTGTACGGAATCTGTGAAGGCTCTCATCAGCCACTTCTAGTGCATACAATCACAATAATTTAAATAAACACAACATTTGGGACATGGAAAGAATTTGCTACTTAGAAATGTAAGCACTGCAAAGATGTACTGGTTATAGGGTAATGTTGGGATTTCATGAGCTAGTTCTTTCAAACAGTAAGAGAGATCAAATATTTCATACCTGCAGTGAAGCATTACTGTACCACATTGAGGCTGCTAACCGTAGTGTATAACTGCAGCTGTTCTAAATAAGTGAGGTTATGAAGTTTGTTGAACTTTTCAGCAGATATTCTAAACTTACTGTATGATAACACTTCAGGTCTTAATCAGGGTAGAGATATTTTTCCCTCTCAGCCGTACACACCATAGGATCTTGCAAAGAATCAAGGAAATCTTGACACTCCTGGAGATGCATGATAAAGTGCTAGCCATCTTGGAATTGAAATGGCCTTCATTATTACTATTTACTATTTATCTTATTGTGGTGCCTACAAACTGCACTACAGGGTTGAGACCCTCTTGTGGTAGAAGGCATTGAGAAATTTCTCAAAAGATCTGTTTTCAGCCAATAGAATGAAAAAGCAGAAATATGGGTCAGCACAGAAAAGCAGATTGTGAAACAGGTCAGCATGATAAGAATCAATAATAAACCAGAAAGAAACTAATATGTATGGATGAAATGATGACTCCTATTGACTTTGAGGCAAAATACTGGAAGTA